TTACAGTTATTGGTCTTTAGAAAGAACCTGAGGAAAAAACATCATTGCATTTAGAACTATTGTGTCATCACCGACTGAGGTTTATATGTTGTTGGGTTCAGTTCGATAATGTTCTCTTGATTTTCATATCTTTGAAATATCATGAGGGGTATCATTAGTCTGTAATTTTCTTAAACCTCTGTCAGGTTTTGGTGTCAGGTTCATGCTGGCCTCAAAAATGAGTTGGTGATATGAACATTGGGGTACAGATGGCTCTTCTTTTCATGACATCTGTGTCTTTGGGGTAAATAGCCAGTAGTGCAATTGCAGGGTCATAGGGAAGCTCTATTTTTAATTTCTTTCTTTCTTTCTTTTTTTTGTGTGTGTGATGGAACTGTTCTTTATTTTATTAAATTTTTATTAGTTTTTTAATTTTTTATAAGCATATATTTTTATCCCCAGGGGTGCAGGTCTGTGAATTGCCAGGTTTACACATTTCACAGCACTCACCATAGCACATACCCTCCCCAATGTCCATAATTCCACCACACTCACAGTCACTAAACTGTGGAAAGAACCAAGATGCCCTTCCAACAGATGAATGGATAAAGAAGATGTGGTCCATATATACTATGGAGTATTATGCCTCCATCAGAAAAGATGAATACCCAACTTTTGTATCAACATGGACAGGACTGGAAGAGATTATGCTGAGTGAAATAAGTCAAGCAGAGAGAGTCAAGTGTCATATGGTTTCACTTACTTGTGGAGCATAAGGAATAACATGGAGGAGATGGGAGATGGGGAGGAGAAGTGAGTGGGGGGAAATCGGAGTGGGGGGAGACAAACCATGAGAGACTGGACTCTGAGAAACAAACTGAGAGTTTTGGAGGGGAGGAGGGTGGGGGGTTGGATGAGCCTGGTGGTGGGTATTATGGAAGGCACATACTGCATGGAGCACTGGGTGTAGTTCATAAGCAATGAATGCTGGAACACTGAAAAGAAATAAAAATGAGTTGGTGATGGTTCCCTTTTGCATAAAGGGGCTTGTGTAAGGTGGGTGTAGGTACAGGCATATCTTGCTCTATTGTGCTTCACAGATACTGCATTTTTTTTTTTTAATAAGTTGAAGGTTTATGGCATCCCTGAGATAAGCAAGTCTAGTAATGCCTCTTTTCTGATGGCATTTGCTGATTTCACATCTCTATGTCATATTTTGGTCATTCCTATGGTATTTCTGACTTTTTCATTATTACATTTGTTACAGTGATCTGTGATCAGTGATCTTTGATGTCACTCTTGTAATTGTTGGGGGTACCATAGACCATGCCATATAAGATGATGAGCTTACCTGATACATGTCTGTGTCCTGACTGCTCTGTCCACTGGCCATTCCCCCACCTCTTCTCCTCTCCTCTGGCCCCTCTGTTCCCTGAGACACAACGAAGTTGAAATGAGGCCAGTTAGTAGCCCTACAGTGGCCTCTAAGTACTCAAGTGAAAGGAAAAGTCACATGTCTCTCACTTTGAATCAAAAGCTAGAAATGGTTAAGATTAGGGAGGAAGGCATATTGAAAGCCAGCGTAGACTAAAAGCTAGGTTTTTTGTGCCAAACATCAGCCAGGTCGGGAGTGCAAAGGAAACAGTCTTGAAGGACATTAAAAGTGCTACTCCTGTGAGCATATAAATGATAAGAAAGTGAAAACAGTTCTGTTGCTGATACGGAGAAAGTTCGAGTGGTCTGGAGAGAAGAGCAAACCAGCCCCAGCATTCCCTTAAGCCAAAGCCTGACCCCGAGCAAGGCCCTAGGTCTCTGTGATTCTGGGAGGGCTGAGAGAGGTGAGGAAGCTGCAGAGGAAAGTCTGAAGCTGCAGAGGCCGGTCCCTGAGGTTGAAGGAAAGAACCAGCTCCGTAACAGAAAGTACAACGTGAAGCAGCAAGGGCTGGGGAAGAAGCTGCGGCGAGTTCTCCAGAAGGTCCAGCTACCACAGCGATGAAAGCGGCTGCACACCACAGCAGGTTTCCAGTGTAGACAAGACAGCCTTCCACTGGAAGAAAATGCCGTTGAGGACTTTCAGAGCTAGAGAGGAGAAGTCAGTGCTGGCTCCACAGCTTCAGAGGACAGGCTGACTCTCACGTTAGGGGCTAAAGCAGCTGGTGACTTCACCTGAAGCCGGGGCTCACTGACCATTCCGAAAATCCTAGGGCCCTTCAGAATTACTCTAAACCTACTCTGCCTGTGCTGTAGAAATGGAACAGTGAAGCCTGGGTGACAGCACATCTGTTTACAACATTACTGAATATTTGAAGCCCACTGTTTAAGACCTGCTGCTCAGAAAAAAAATTCTTTCAAATACTGCTGCTCACTCACTGATACTGCGCCTGGTCTCCCAAGAGCTCTGATGGAGATGTGCAATGAGATGAGTGTTTTCATGGCTGTTGACATGGAATCCGTTGCCTAGCCCACAGATCAAGGAGTCATCTTGACTTTCCAGTCTTATTCTTTAAGAAATACATTTCATAAGGCTCTAGCTGTCTAGAAAGTGATTCCTCTGATGGATCCAGGCAAAGTCCATTGAATCCTTCCTGGAATGGGATACTATTAAGAACAATCGGAAGAGGTCAAAATATCCACATTTGTTTGGCGTTTGGAAGAAGTTAGTTCCCACTGTCCCTGAGGACTTGGAGGGGTTCAGGGCGTCCACGGAGACAGTCACCGCAGAGGTGGTGGAAACAGCAAGAGAACTGGAGTTAGAAGTGGGGCAGGAAGATGGGACCGCACTATTGCCGTCTCATGATCAGACTTGAGCGGATGAGGAGCTGCTTCTTGTGGATGAGCCAAGAAAATGGATTCTTTTTTTTTTTTTTTAAAGATTTTATTTATTTATTTGACAGATCACAAGTAGGCAGAGACGCAGGCAGAGAGAGAGAGGAGGAAGCAGGCTCCCTGCTGAGCAGAGAGCCCGACGCGGGGCTCGATCCCAAGTCCCTGGGATCATGACCTGAGCCGAAGGCAGAGGCCCTAACCCACTGAGCCACCCAGGTGTCCCCAAGAAAGTGGATTCTTGAGCTGGAATCTGCTCCTGGTGGAGATGCCGTGAAGACTGTTGCAGTGACCACAAAGGATTTAGAATCTTACATCAACTTAGCTGAGAAAGCAGCAGCAGGGTTTAAGAGGACTGACTCTAATTCTGAAAGAAATTCTGTGGGCAAAACACTCAAACAGCATCCCATGCTACAAAGAAATCCTCCATGAAAGGAGCCAGTCGATGTGGCAGACTTTCTTGTCTTCTTTTAAGAAATTGCCACAGTCCCCACCAGCCTGCAGTGGCACTGCCTTCATCAGTCAGCCACCATCAGCAGGGAGCCAGGACCCTCGTCCCCATCAAAGAGATTATGACTTGTTAAAGTTTTAGATGATGGTTTGCCTTTTTTAGCAATTTAATTAACGTATCTGCATTGTTTTTCTAGACATAATGCTGTTGTGCATTTAATAGATAACAGTATAGTGTAAGTCTAACTTTAGTATGCACTGGGAAACCAAAAATTTCATTTCACTGGCTGTATTGCGATATTTACTTAACTGTAGTGGTCTGAAACTGAACTCACAGTATCTCTGTGATACGCCTGTCTCCTGGATTTTTCCAGTTTTTCACAATATAAGATAACTCTAGAAATTTTTTTTTGAGAAGTCTTGTATTTGAGATGATATAATTCCCTTCTAGAAGTGGGATTACTGAGGCAAAGACCATAAAGACTCTTACACTGCTGGATTTCTTTCCAGGAATGATTATCTGTTTATGTTTATTCTTACTAATCTTTTTCAGAGGTCAGGGTAGAATAGTAAATGTTTCTGGAATAATAAGCTGCCCACCACATTTAAGATTTGTAGGATGCAGATTTACTATAATGCTACAAAATGATTTTTGTTTTCATTTCATTAGAGACACTGGCTTAGTAAATTTCATTTTTTAATTATGAAAAGCGTTTTGCTTCATTGAACACATACAACATTCGGTTCCGCTACATTTGTCAAATATCTGTCATGTGCCAGGCGTGTTGTTCGATAGAGAAATAAAATGGGGGGGGTAAGCTTTCTATCCGTCAAGATTTCAGATCCTAGAAGAAGAGAAAGACCCACTGTCGTCTAAATATTTTATGGTGTAATAAACCATACACGCCCACAGTGACTCTGCGAAGTGCCGATGGGGGATTGAAGGGAGGAGGTACTGATGCCAGGGGTTAAAATGTGAGTTGAGACTTCAGAAGAATAAACTTCTGTTAGATGAAGTAGAAGTGCAGAGGTCGTGCCAGGGAGAAGTGGCACTGAAGGGCATACTAAAGTGTCTAGAATGTGGAAGATGGCCATTTGTTTTACAGTTAAAAACTTATCTCCTAAATTTGCAGGTCATTTAACTCCCATTCTAGAATACATGTAGTCCTCATTCTTCATCCGGAGCTATTTACCTCTGGCAAACACCTTTCACAAAATGGTCTTTAGTAATGCTTTTCTCACTGCGCCTGTCCTCCACCTGTTAGTGAGTTATACAGACCGATGGAGCAAGCAGCTCTCGGTCCCCACGCACATCCAGAGGAGTCAGCAGCTGTGAGGAACTGCTTTTCCTCCACCCGTCGTATCTGCTCCTGTGCAGTTAGCCCGATCCTGGCTAACTGGGGGCCTGTATTTCAGAATACAGATTTCTGAACAAAGGACTGAGGCCAATCCATCTGTTTTGAAGCTGTATGGAGTACAAAGTCCTGTTACGTTGTTTGGTGATGGTGGGTGGGGTGGGATCGTTGCAAGACATTCAGAATGTTGCTTCGCTGATGTAAAAATAACGGGTAGGAATATTGCTTCGCTGATGTAAAAATAACGGGTAGGAATACGCAAAAGTGGCCAGTGCTAGGCTACTCACACTTTCCGTTACTGTTTGTTAATGGAATCAGAAAGTTTGAGCGTTCTTTTAAAGACATGGTCCGAATGCCTTTCCTGAAATTTTGTTTCCGTGTTTATTTGAATAGGATGAAAGTTAAAAAACTGCCCATGATTCTGGCTCTGCACCTGAAGAGGTTTAAATACATGGATCAGCTGCATCGATACACAAAACTGTCTTACCGGGTAGTGTTTCCTTTAGAACTTCGTCTGTTTAACACCTCTGGTGATGCGACCAATCCTGACAGAATGTACGACCTTGTCGCCGTGGTGGTTCACTGTGGAAGGTAACCGCAGCTGTGGGCCGCGCGGGCCAGGGTCTCTCTCCGTGGGGCAGGCGTGCAGGATGTTCTGTGCCTGCCCTTTGTGGCTGGCGTGGCTTCGTACGGTACCCCCTGAATGTCCACGTTCTCTTATGCAAAATGCAGTCCTATTAACAGCCTGCCGTGGCGTTATGGTTAAAGGGGGAATGCAAATCACTTAGCTGCTGCTACTGTGTTCTTAACAATAATGACGCCCTTATAGTACCTTTTCACATCCTAATTTAACTGTGCCGTAGCCTCTTCAAATTCAGGGACAGTTCTTAGGTTTCCCTCTGCTTAGATGATGCTGGTGTTCCTGGAACTGCTCTGCTCACAAGACCGTGAGCTCTGAGATTCCTGGTCACAGCTGGGCTCCCTCCCCGACTCCTTATTCCTCTTCTCTCACTGCAATTCCCCCTGCCTTCTTCCCCTCCTGGCCTCCTCAGACCTCTCTGAAAGCCGTCCTGGGTGCCCTTCTCATCCAGCCCTGCTCCATTTGCTGCCACGCCTCTGTGTTCACCCAGCTGCTGGATGCGTCCTGCCCGCAGTAACTCCCTGCTCCGTACTGGCGTGTGTTTATCAGTTTGGAGGGCCGTCTCCGCTAGCAGAACAGGCACTTCTTAAAACAGGAAGTGATCTGCCCATTAACAGAAGATTAAAGACATTTTCAAATCTTATTTTCTACTTATCAGATTTACTCGTAGTTACGTTTCATATGAGAGTGTAAAGGGCTTACTTTGCCCGCATCCTTGCCGCGGATGATGCTCATTGCTAGCAAGCCTGTGCTGCCCACCTCCTGTGGTCCTGCTCCTGCGTGTCTGGCATCTAGTAGATTTCCAACAGGTGCTTGCGGACTTGGCGCGTGTGATCCTTTCAGCCCGTCTCAGGGCCCAGCTCCACTGTAACCAACTTCCTCAGCCCTCCTCCTCCCAGCTGCCCCCTCTCCTGGGTGAGGCCTGTAGGTTGCGCTACCCCTGCAACTCCGCTTTTATTATCATATGGGGCCCCGTATGGTGTTCTTGGAGGGTTCTCTCCTGTACTCACGGTGTCCTCAGGCTAGAAGGCTGTAGGTGCCTTTCTGACCCCTCACAGCAAGCAGCCGTTATTAGCACACAGTATAGCATTCATACCATACTGCATGGAGCATGTCTTATGTTCAGGATGCACGTCCCCAAGCCACGGCTCGCAGGGTGAAGTTTATCAGCCTTTCTTCTCTTACTAGTTTCTATAGTGAACATTTGTCTTTTGTCCTTCAGACTGCCTCTCTGCCAGAGGAAAAGGCTGCTACCCTTTTCAGTCTCATACCCAAGGGTCCTCAGCCCACCCGCCTCCTTTCCTCTCTGGCTCTGTTCCTCAGCCTTTCTGAGATTTTTTCTTTATGTTCACCACCTTAAAAATTAAAAAAAAAAAAAAAATTCTTACCCTCTCACTATAAAACACAAGACTCTAGATGAATCCTATAGGAATGGGGAAGTTTTTGGGGGTTTTTTTGTTTGTTTTTAAGTTTTTTCTAGTATTAAAAGCCTTTAAAAAAAAAAAAAGGTTCTGAGGTATTTTCTTCTGTGGAGAAAGAGCAGTACTCTTGTTTTTGTCATTTTGTCACCTGAGGTACTCGTCTCACCTAATAATCAGAGGACCCAAGGCAGGGACACATGGGAGGGTTCTTATTCTATTCTCTGATGTTGCTGATCACCATAAACAGCACTTTGTGTTGAAAATTATCTCAAATTCTATAATATAATAATTGTAATAGAATTATAACTTAAAGAATTATAAAGAAGCTTTTATAATGAGTCATACTTAATCTGCAAGAGGTTAAAATCCTTGCCATGTCCTTTACAAAGCAAAGGATTTTTTTGGAAAAAAAAAAAAAAACCAACAAAAAAAAACCCACCTGCATTTTAATGCATTTCTAGATTTCTTAATTCCGGGTTTGTTTAAAATGAGCTGCAGAGGCAATTCCAAGAATTATAATGACTAAGATCCAGGTACTTAAAAATAGCACTAATAATACTAGCAAAATGTCATTTGTTTTTAAAGAAGTTTCTGATGGTCAAGCTTGATTTCAGAACTATAGATGTGATACGTGTTTTTTTAGGCAACACATGGTATTTTTCCTCAAGAGAAAAACTATGGCCAAGGGAATAAAACTTAGAAAAAATTCTACATATGTTCTGTAGTTTAACTCAGGGGGCTCTGACCCTCGATCCTCTCTCTCTCCCAAATGCTAAAAAATATATTTAAATTTTTCAGAGAAGCAAATTTGAAAATCATTTTAAACATTATAATTAAAAAATTATTACAAAGACAACAAAAATTTTAATGGTATAGCTTTTCGTAAATAGAACGCTGGTTATAGCTCTCAAAGTAGAGTACTAATGATTTGATTATAAAATTGAATGCCAGTTCACATCAATGTAGCTTGATATTTTGGGAAGGAATAGATAAGGAGTATTTTCATCGGTTTCAGTTATTCTCCTTTATAGAACATGACATCAAGGGCATAGAAGAGTGGTATTAATAAACATTGTATATAATAAACTTCTCTTTCTCTTTGTTTTAGTGGTCCCAATCGAGGACATTATATTGCAATAGTTAAGAGTCATGATTTTTGGTTATTGTTTGATGACGACATTGTAGAAGTAAGTAGTTCTTGAATTTCTTATTTTTCTTCAAAGTTGTGTGTGTATTTTACTCTTCTGTTTTTTTCTCCCAGCCTCTCATTCATATGACAGGTGATGAATATTGGATAATTGTTGAGGTTTTCAGATTGTAGTCGGATTCCTACTTCTTACTCCCCGACAGCCAACCCCAATGCTTGAATGGTCAGGTGACCTTCAAAATGCATAGAGTAAAACAAAGAAAAGCTTTCCACAAGAGAACTAGTTTTAAAAATTCTTTCATTGTCTATTAAAAAAAATGATTGAGCTATAATACACATACAGAAAGTATATGGATCTAAAGCAGCACTTGAATTTTTTTCTTTTAAAGATTTTATTTATTTATTTGACAGAGCTCACAAGTAGGCAGAGAGGCAGGCAGAGAGAGAGATTGGAGGAAGCAGGCTCCCCGCCGAGCAGAGACCCGATGTAGGGCTCGATCCCAGGACCCTAGGATCATGACCTGAGCCTAAGGCAGAGGCTTTAACCCACTGAGCCACCCAGGTGCCCCAGCACTTGAATTTTTTATGTGTGGGTTTGCGCACACACACGTATGTATGTGCACATACACACTCTGTAACCATTCTCCAGATCAAGGGAGAGTACATTTGTAACACCTTTCGATAAGCCCCCTTATATCCTCTTCCCGGTCAGTCTTCACAGTTTTCCCTCCCACTCCCCAGCGTCCTCTGAACCCACTATTGATGACTTATTATTATGATTAGTTTTGCCTCTGTTTGACTATAAATGGACTCCTCCAGTGTGACTTCTTTTGTATCTAGCAGTTCATTCTTGCTGCCTATAGTAGTGGTTCTTTTTTATTGCTCTGTAATTTCTCATTGTAAGAATATAACAAGTTAGAAATTTGCCTTTTTATCCCTTCCTGACTATTCTCAATAAAACTGCCTCGATCACCCCTATCTAATGCTGGACGTACGCACTCATTTTTCTTGGGTAATTGTTAGGTAGGACCATAAGAAATTGCCATTTTCATAGGTCACAAATGGTTGGGATTGGTGGTTTCATATGGGTCAGGTAATTCTGTTCTTTAGGGTTAGACTTGCGGGATCGAAGGGTAGTTGTGTGTTCAGCCTTACAAGATAGTGCTAAACATTTCCCCAAGATCTCTGTTCCATTCTGCCTTCCTGTCAGCTACGTGTGGGAGCCCTGTTTGCTGCACGTTCTCACCAATACTGGGCATGATCAGTTTTTTAACTTAAGCCATTCTCGTGCAGAGCTGTTTTATAAACAGGAAAATGAGAGGCACGATTCTAAGAAATGTGGAAGACTTTACTGGACTGTAGAGCTCATTTCCGTACTAATATTTCCATTTTGCCTCACAGAAAATAGATGCACAAGCTATTGAAGAATTCTACGGGTTGACATCAGATATCTCAAAGAACTCAGAGTCTGGTTACATCCTTTTCTATCAGTCTCGGGACTGAGCGAGACCGTGATGAAGAGATACTTTCTGCCTCATTTCTTCTCTGGTTATTTTGGAAAGGATCAAGCACTGATTTTTCAAGACAAGAGAAATGCAGGAAGCTCAGGGGGCAGTCGCACACTTTGCACACAATAAAGCAAAGACTATGGATTAACACGCTCTTCCTATCATGATAGTTGATTTATTTGCTCAGGTATCATGCTGTCTGTGCAGTTCCACACAACAAGGAAGTGAAATCAGAGATAGCAGCTCCTCTTGTAAAACAGCCTTCCAGTAATTGATATGCATTTCTCTTTATTAATTGCACCAGTAATGATTTGAACTCCTTGGGGGTGCAGTAGAAAGACTAGGAATCCGTGCTAGGTTGTATTGATCATTTAAGGAGATCACACTGCGTAAATTTGCCCGTGTTGAAGCCACACAGAAGGAATATTCGGTGGTCTTTTCAAGTGTAAACCAGAACTGCATTTGGGCCCAACACTTGCGGTTGCCTTCCTGATGTCAGAACTCAGATCACTAGAATCCAGTGTCAGGAAGGCAAATATGTTTTGCTTCTCTGAAGAAGCTTATAATAATATACAGTATATGTATATGTAGGGAACAATTGGTCAAAAGTGGCTTTTTGTTTCCCCAAGGGGAAAGACTGGCTTTGTAATTATAATTTTTTTTCTTATTTATTTTACTTAAAACTGGTAGAGTCTTAAGTATTTTGTGAAGTGCCCATGATTCTGTCAGTAAATTTGAGCATATTTTTATTAGTTTTTGTCAGTTTAACTAGTCCTTTTGTTTGTTTCTATTTTGAAGGTGAATTTTAAACTATTTTAAAGTCGTAGGATACCTTAAGAAAAATTTGCGACGAGAGGAGGTAAATAATCTTTTTCAGGAGGAACTGATATCTCTGGCTAATATTTGTCCTTTTGTTAGAGTTTATAAATCAGTTGTTCAGCTTTAATCTCAGTACCATAAAAAAACTATCAGAAACTCCCTGTCACAATTGGAACGATGAAGGAAGGTGTGGCCCCATGGGGGCTCACCAGTCCTGAGCACTCTCAAGTTCTCTGATGTTTCAAGATGAGGCCGTGCTTGGAAAATTGGTGTCGTAGCAGTTATGTTCTTTTCAAATGTCATTCTTTACCCGGGAAAGAAGTAATCTGTCAGAACCCCAGCAGCCCCCGAGGCTCGCTGCACACACCCGACGAAGATGAAGTGTTTGTGGTGCAGGCCGGGAACACACGGAGCAAGTCCTTTTCTCTTCCCCCCACCCCCTCCCTCCATCTTCACAAACCTTACTGGAAGAGTGTTCAGAGATTACACTTTGCATTTGTTAAGACTTTCTTCTGTTGGGAGTTTGAAGAAGTAATATATGTCATGTCAAATGCACGTGAACCATGGCAGTCGACACTTTTCCATGCATCAGTAAGTTGTCTGACGGTGGCCAAATGTAACATGCAGGAGATAATTGAATACAGAGTCCAAATCACAGCGATCAGGCCTTGGATGTTCTTTAAGTCCCTTTAGGAAGTAATTTTTTTTTAATTGCTGTAATTTTCTAAACTTCTTTGACTAATACTGTTGAATATGAAAAGAAAAAAAAACTTTTTTGTCTGCTGCTATTTATTAACATTTATTATCTGTATCTTTTTAGCTCAGGAAATGACTTCACCTACTCGTTCCATGAACTGATCTTTAACAGGGTCACTTGGCTAATCGGGCTGTTTCAACAGATGTGCTGGGAGAAAATGATGTATTTTGACAACTTGCTTTTTAAGATTATAGTTGCTAAAACCTTACGCTGGCTGGAGTGGGTTTGTACAAATATGTAGCCTGCCCAATGACTACATTGCACAGAGAATCATGACCGAGAATGTGGGGAAGGTCACAGATGTGGAAGTGGATACATTTTTTTATTTTGAGGGCTTAAACCAAATTGTCTTGGAACTCGAGGCTTTGTTTCTGCAGCGTTCAGCGCAGAGAGACGTAAAGTGAGGCTGAGGCAGTCTTCACTTGAGTCAGGCCACAGCATGGATAAGAGAGATAGATGAAGTCATTTGCATAGAGGTACAGCATTGGAATACTACGCTGTGTTTGTTTCTACATTTTGCATTTTAAAAAAATACAGTAAAAGCAAGGTTAAATCTCCTATTAAAGCAAGTTCTAGTATTTTTATTGAGTTATTTGGTAGTCACACACTGTTCACATCTACACCGTGTTTAATAGTATGATTTGTCCGGGGAGGAACTGTGGGGTGATGGTTCTCAGTTTCTTTTTTACTCTTAGTACAGCTGCATCTACATAAAACGTTTTGAAGCTTATCAGAAATTCAGTATACTTTGAAAACAAAGGGTTAGGGTTGCGGGGGAAAAATTTAGTAAGAAAAATGACCCATCTAGAAAGCATTGTGAGGTTGTGTGTTGGTTGACTGTGATTGAAATGAAGGGCGGGGGTAGGTTGTAAAGGGTGGCTGACTGCTCTCTAACCATGTACATGTTTGTTGGGATGGCTGTCCCATATTTTTTGTATATTGGAATAAAAATTTCTATAAATTATCGTAACTGAAAGTAAATATTCTAAATTAAGTCTCACTGCTAAGTCCTATGGCTTCTGTCTTGGAAACTTTACCTTTAGAAGATTGCTTAAGACAGGAACCGTGAGACTTCAGGAAAAGGGAAAAAAGGACATGTGTAATATATGGGTCTTGTTGCCTCTAACCATCAGTATCGGGTTCTTTTCTTTTTGGTGATGGCAGTAGAAAGACCTCACTTTCATAACATACTACTCTTGATACTTTCTTTAAGGACATTTTCATTAAAGATTTTCTCATGAGGTATTTAACTGGGAGCCGGGAGGCTAAGGCGCTCAGGTCCTGGCTCTTCAGTGAATTTAACTGTGTGACCTTGGGCAAGTCACTTAACCTCTCTGTGCTTCAGTCTCCCTATCTTGTAAAATGGGAGTAATACCTACCTCACAGGGTTGTTGTGGGGATTAATTAGATATAATGTCTGTAAAGCATCTAAGGTTCTTGAAGAAGGCGCTATATAAATACAAAATAATATCTATTAAAGTTGGTTTATTTGTGCTTGTGGGCTTTTGAGTGTTTTTTTTCCTTTCTGCCTAAAAATGTCTTCGCGAATTAAACGAGTTGACCCATGAACAACATGGAAGTTTGGGCTGTGTGGGTCTACTTGTAAGTGGATTTTTTTCGATGAACTTAGTACTGTGAACATGGTTTCTCTTAGGACTTTTCTTAACATCTTCTCTTCTCTAGCTCTATTGTCAGAACACAGTATATAAAACATATACAAACTGTGTGTCAATGGCCTGCGGATGTTATCGGTAACAGGACAACAGTAGACTCATAATAGTTAAGTTTTTGGAGAGTCCAAAGTCAGATAGGGTTTCTTCGACTGCCTAGACACGGTGCCCCTTACCCCTGGGTGGTTCCAGTTCAACTGGATACACTTGGAGAACGGCCTTATTGCTTTCGCTGCGAACTTACTCCCTCTGTTACCCAAAGAGATTGTCCCAGAACAGCCTTCTGCACGTGTAAAACAGCATGCGCAGTCACGTGCCTGCGTGTGATCCTTGTGTACCTCGCATCTGTCTTTCCATAGTAGCACTGTCTGTCCCCAAATCCCAAGCTTAAAATGTAAATTTAGGATCACAGAACCTGAGAGGGGCAAATAGGTTAAAAGGCAGCATTTTTAGCACTCCTTTTCCCTCCCAGTGTAGCAAAATCGGTATGTTAGGGGTATTCCCCCTGTGCTGGAGTACTCAAAGCCCCGCTCCCCCGCTCAGTGACTCAGTAAGTAGGCGCTAATCCTGCCTTTCTGTGTAATCCACCTCCCTCGATCTTGGGTGACCATCCCGGAAACACTTGTGTATTCATCTCTCTGAAGGAGCGCAGTAATGGGTGAACTAGATCGTCACTGGGGACCTTAGATGACATTCTCTCTTCTAAACATCTGTATCACACACCTTGTGAGGAAACTTTAATAAATGAAATTGTCTGTACTCCCGAGAGCTCGTGAACTGTTGCAAAGCCAAGACTGCCCCTCCCTTTATTCAAGTTCCTTCGTTACCCGGTACCTGTTTCTCTTCTTTCGAAGCTTTTTTTTTTAACCTTTGTGCATTTGTGTTTTCTTTTTAATTTTTTAAAAAAGATTTTATTTATTTTTATTTGAGAAAGAGGGAGAGACTGAAAGAGACATGAGAGGGGAGGAGATCAGAGACAGAAGCAGACTCCCTGCTGAGCAAGGAGCTTAATGTGGGACTCAATCCCCGGACCCTGGGATCATGATCTGAACCAAAGGCAGTCACTTAACAAGCTGATCCACCCAGTTGCCCCTCGTTTATGTTTTCTGTGATAACATACTACTTTTTTTTATTTCCAGAGTTGCTGCAATAACAACCCATCATTTGTTGGTTGATGGCATGATAGGCTATTGGTATACTCAGCATTTTACTTCAGATCTTGACAGTGACCTCCATGGATATGTGAAACCCTCATTTTAAAAGAAGAAACTAAAACTCTCCAAGGTGGAGGCATTTTCCCACAGTCACTCAGCTGGAACATAGTAGATGCAGGTTTCAAGTAGGTAGAAATTTGTGGCCCAGCCTTTCACTGTGGCTGTCATTATCAGTGTTTTATTGTGGAAAAAACACACGACATACAGTTTGGCATTTAACCATTTTTTTTTTTTTAAAGATTTTATTTATTTGACAGCACAAGGAGGGAAGGCAGCAGCCACAGGAGAGGGAGGAGCAGGCTCTCTGCTAAGCAGGGAGATTGATGCGGGGCTTGATCCCAGGGCCCTGAGATCATGACCTGAGCCGAAGGCAGACGCCTAACCAACTGAGCCACCTAGGTGCCCCCATTTTAACCATTTTTAAGTGCAGTGGAGTAACAGTAAGCACATTCACAATGTTATGCAACTGTCAATACCATTGATTTCTAGGATTTTTCATCTTCCCAAACAGAAACTCTGTATGCATTAAATAATACCTCCTCTCCCCTGGCCCCAGTAACTCCTTTTCTGCTTTCTATCTTTATGACTTGGCCCACTGTAGATCACTCATTCAAATCCTATAATATTTATACTTTCGTGTCTCGCTTACTGCACTTATTGTGCTTATTGCACTTACGTAACTTGTTTAATCTTCATGTTGAGGCACGTGTCAGCATCTCCTTCGTTAGGACTTGGTAATACTTCATAGCATGCCACATTTTTTTTTTTTGAAGATTTTATTTATTTGAGCATGCCACATTTTTATCCATTCATCTCTTGGACATTTGGGTGGTAAAACCGCTATGAACACGGATGGACAAATACCCGAGTCCTTGACTTCAGCTCTTTCAAGTCTATACAAGAGATTGCTGGACCACTTAAT